TATGGAATTTCAGCATTTTTTGTGCATTTGTGAGAAGCATACTATCCGGTTGTGGAGCTTTTTTTCTTTCTAGCGCATTTCTCAGGGTTGAGGTGGGCTCTCGTGAGGGGAGCCTGGTAATGCACAGTCAGCTCCCCATCAGTGCAGACAGGTGCATCACCAGTGTGGCAGGCTCAGAGTGTGGCTGATACACAGACAGAATTCTTGCTTCTTTTCTAAATAGAAAATGAAGCAAACGATACAGTATATCTTACAGGATCCCCAGAGGAAACATCTGGAGAGCCTCTGTTTGCCCCTGTTACTCTCAAGTGATGTAGAGAGTAACGGGGTAGTTTGACAGTAAAGGTATTAACCCCTGAGGGCAGCTTCCCCAGGATGATGTTTACAAGCCATTTTACACGTGCTCACTGATCCACATGGCGCAAACCGTCTGTTTCCAATCTCTGCATCCCTGTCCTCAGCTCTTCTAACATTAGGATTCAGAATTTGGTTTTCTAAGTTCCTTTCAGGTCTCAGAGAGCCAAAGGTGTCATTTAAATGAGTGGAGGGAATCCGACTCTGATCTTTACCTCGCAGTGTCTTCCTGTCCCCTCCCAGCACACATGCTCTCACTGTGTCACATGACACAGAGATCTCAATTCCCAGCCACAAGGCCACCTTCACACTGGGAATCCAAATTTATCAGTTTTTTACTTCAAAATTCCGTAGCAATTGGTCTCTGTTTCTTCTACTGGTGTGTCTCCTGTCGTGCTATATTAAATGAACTTTTTTCTGAGTGCCATGAACATGATAACCTTTTCTAAGGCACCTCCGCCCCCTTCTTACCCAGACACGTGCCACTCATGGGGCACTGAAATGAATGGGACCCAGAGAAAATGGTGGTGACAGATTCCCACTGAGGATCTCTTTACTGAACACCTTCTATGTGCAAGAAGTGGAGACACAGTGGTTAAGAGGGGGCAGGTCCATGTTCTCGAGCAGATCACCTTCAGGTGGAGAACAGAGATAAGAAACAAGTAAGCAACCGGCAGCATTTAGAGAGTGATAAATATTGAAAGGCAAATTCTATAGCGTAACATAGAGCCATCTAGTGTGATTCATATAGTGTAAGCCACATGACATAAGCAATGTGATTACAGTAAGTAAAATACTTAGGTGATATAGCAATATTGTAAATGTAATCTACATAGTTGTGTGCATAGTAAATTAGAGGAAAATTGTGTAACATAGATGGAGAGTGACCATGTGTGGGGGGTGCCAAGTTTAAATTAGAAATGACTCATGGAATGCCTTCTGTGGAGTTTGAGCTGAGATCCTGTGTAACTTATGATGCTTTTGGTGGCAAGGAACAAAAAACCATGGGCCAAAATGGCTTTAACAACATCAAAGAAAATCACCTGCTAGGAAGTCACAAAGTTGGCTGGTTCCAGGTAGGTGGGTCCACTGGTCCATCCAGGTTACAGAGGGCCTGGTTCCTTCTGTCTTTCTGTTCTTCCATGGTCGCAGTGTCAGCCTGGTCCTCGGCCAGCCCTCTCCAGGCTCTGAGGTCACCGTGGCAGTCCCTGTTGTCATCTCTGCTGTGACATCATCCAGTGGGAGAAGGAGGCACAGCTTCCTGTGGATCTCAGAGCAAGGAGACCCTTCCCAGAATCCCCAGCAGACATCTCACACCTCATTGGCCAGAATCGGGTCACAGGCCCTTCCCTAAGCCAATCACTGGCAAGGATAATGGGGTGAGAATGACTGGCTCAGCCAGGCCCATGGTGGATGGAGGGCAGTGAGTTTTCTGAGTAAAATTTTCATAATATTAGAGAAGAAGAAGGTATATGTGTGTGTCGGGGCAGAGGTGCTGGTGTGCTATTAGATGGGCAGTAGGCAGCCACTTATGTCTCCTCAGACCTGAATGACAAGCAGACCTCTGTCAAGGGAAGGTCATGGAAAGGCTTTCGGATGAGGGTAAGCTCAGGAGAGTTCAGGGAGAGAAGGCAGACCCTCGAGGAGGGAGCCTGTGTTGGGGGTGGGGAGGGGTGTGCTGGGCGAGGCTGGAGAAGGAGGCAGGTCCAGGTCATTAGGCCTTGTAAGTTGTAATCAGGGGTTGGATTTTATCTGGTGTGCCACGGGAAGACCCCGGAGAGACCTGACGTGAGCAGGCAGAGGAAAGAGCGCTGGCCAGGAGTGAGCACATTCACCCGAAGCCCTGGGCGGGTGGCGTTCCGTTTTCTATGCTGGATTCAGTGCAGGTAAACTGAGGGTCCTGATGCCAGCCGCACAGAGTCATTGTGGACACTGACGCATGGAGAGGGGAGGAAGAGCATTGCAGGCAGTGAGTCCTGCTCGAATATGAGATGTTTACTGTAGACGATTCTCCTCACTGGTGGTAGTAATAAAGTCGGCGTGAACACTGAATTACAAACCCTGAACCATTGCTTCTAGGGGAAATATACACACACACACCTCACGTGGATTATACTCTTAAATATTCTCTTTATTTTACAAAGTATAAAATGCGGTTCAGAAGTGTTAAGTGACTTTCCTGAGGCCGCCCCACTACCGGGTGCCAGAGGAGGTGTTCAGTCCCTGTGCAGCTGGCCCAGAGCAGCGCCCACCCCCATCCTCTGGTCATCCCTGGAGGAGAACTGAGACAAGATGGCAGAGTCGTCCTGTTCGACCTCAGCCTGGAAAGTGCACATGGGGCAGAGGACTCAGCGTTTTCACTGCTCTGCATCAAAGTGCTCCAAGCAATGTTAGCAGCTAGGCAAATTTGCAGATAAGGAATCCACAAAGAATGAGGAATCTACAAACAACAAACATTGATTTCTCATGGTTCTGGAGGCTGGGAAGTCGGGGTCAGGGTGTGGGTGTCTGGTGAGGGCCCTCCTCCTGGTTCAGAGACAGCTGTCTTCTGGTTGTGTCCTCATATGGAGGAGAGTAGAGGGAGGGAGCAGGCTGTCTCTGTGTGTCTCTTCTTCTGAGAGTCCTGATCCCATCATGAGGCCTCCACCCTCATGACCTCATTACCTTCCAAAGGCACCATCTCTAAATACCATCACATTGGGGATTAGGGTTTCAATACAGGAATTTTAGGGGGACACAAACGTTCAGGTCTGCATGTTGCCAGTGAGTCCAGGGTGGTTAGGGGTCTGATTGCATGTCCGCCAGTGCAGTGCTCTGGTGGGAAGGCAGGGGTCGCCCTATAATGGGGCGTCCACTCCCTTCTAAGAACCTGAGGGAAGGGCAGTAGCTTGGCATTGTGTCAGCATCACAGTATATTAAAATAAGCACACATTCCTCCATTCTATTTTCTGCTCTAATCGAAAACCTTGTTCTGATTGCTCTCTTTACAATCCTGGGCATGATAATGCGGATTTATGTCCCTCAAATGCACCCTGAAAGCCAGCTGATGCACTCAGTTTGTCGTCTTTCTTCTCCCTTTTCCCTGAAGGGCAGAGGACTTGGACTGCTGAGTCCTGACACGGTGGGAAGGGGCTCCGGGCTGACCCCAGCCTACCTCAGTGACACTCCAGCACCCCGTTCATTGCTTGGTGCACCATGTCACTGTGAGTTCAGCCCATCTCCCCATTCGTGGCCTTGGGTAATTCTACTTACAGATTCCTAAAGTAATCTGTGACATTGTGAAGTGGAAATGGCGAGGAGCCATGTCTGTGACGGGGGCGCAGGGCCGGTTTAAGGATCCTGTTAGTTGTTTTTTTTTGGCCTTTGATTTCATTCTATCGTGAACTAAGTTCATCTATTCCTTCTCCTTGTGGGAGCGAGTTCATATCCATGCCTTTTGGGGGGGGGGGGTGGTGATGATAATTTGTCTCAAACAACGTGGAGGTTTGCTCTTAGAGTTGGGAAGCTGGCACTTCTGCCCTTGCTCTTGAGCCATTCACCAGTGACGTCAAGGGTGCAGTTGGACCTGTGTGTCTGGGGCTCGGAAGGCAGGCTTGGGCTGCAGGTACCAATTCCGGTGAGGAAGAGAAGGTCAAGAATAAGTCCTGCTCTGTGGTTTGCAAAACAGGCTGCCTGGTGCCTCTCAGGGCTGCGTTGGGGAGCCCTCCAGCAGCCCAGCCCTATGCGGAACCCCAAAAGCAGTGTGTCACCTTGAGCAGTTACATCACCTCGCTGGCCTCAGGGTCTGCATCTCCAGGAGGAGACTGTGGACCCCGTGCAGCTTTGTGATTCCGTGCTGAATTGGTGGTTGATTTGTGTCTTCTGCACATGAAGTGACTTTCGCCCCCACCCCCGCCTCCCCGCCTAGATACATAAATGACATTTTCCTGATGGCCCAGGAGAGAAAGTCATCAACATTTTATTGGTTTATCCAGAAGATGTGAGGTGAAATGGGGGCTTCAATTGTCTAGTACCTAGCCTGCTAATGCAGGCACGTCGAAAGGGCACCTCCAAGTGCTGAGTCAAAAGGCCATTACAAAATGCTCCATCCTCACTTCCGTTCTGCAAAATGCTAGTTTGATGGGACAAAAATAAGTATATCCACATTTCCAGTGCATTCCGTGAGTATTTCCTACAGGGATTTTAATCTAGCACAAAGCTCTTTGGGTTTTTCAGGAGAGAGCGTCTTTATGGCTTGAATAAAGTTTTTTCTTAGTAACATATGGCCACCTTTGATGCATCTTCAAATATGGAGCAAGAGTGAAATATGTCGCACTGGGGTTCGATTGGTGATGCTTAGAGTATGTGAGAAAGTTAAGGTAAAGAAAAACACACGCACAAAAGGCACACAGGTGATGTCACTCATTAAATTATGTTTATAGTTTTACTTGTTGGTATTTCATAATATAAAATGGTTTTCCTGGAGTCTATTTATCAGTATTTGTCACTAATTAGTGCCTACAAATTACCTTTTGTTCGAGTGCTTTTCTTCTGGCTGTCCCGGTGTCTCATTGATCAGAGCTGTTGAAGTTCATGAACTTTCACTGTCAGCTTTGGCTTGCGCTTTTCCTGCTGATGCATCTCAGGATTTTAACTCCTCTCCCCAGGTTTCCAACACCTGCGATTCCATCTTTGTGAACGGGAAGGAAATGAAGAGCAGAGTGGACACGGTCGTGAACTTCACCCACCAGCACTTCACCTCCCAGTTAGAGGTCACTGTCTGGGTGCCCCGACTGCCCCTGCAGGTGGAGATCTCGGACACGGAGCTGAGCCAGATCAAAGGATGGAGGATCCCGGTGGCCTCCAACAGAAGGTGAGGCACTGAGGGAGGGAGACTCTCAGAGAGAGCTGTGCATCTGAGGCTCCTAGGGCCCAGATCCTTGTGGGAGACCAACAGACCTCAGGGGCCCAGGTCCCAGGGCAGTAACATGCACAGTGGGTGACAATGGTCTGGAATGTTCGGATGGCTCTGATTGGGCACTTACTAGCCCTTTGACATGAGGGGATTATAATAATGGGGATGGTGATAGTATCAACCTCGTGGAGTAGTTGCTAGGATTAGTAAAGTGACGCAAAGCATGAGAAGCACCTGGCACAGGGCCTGGCTTTTAGGGTCTAGTTATTTTTTTATTCCCTGTTTCCTTGCCTGTAAATGTCAGCAATCATCCAGACAGCTCAGTGTGATGGTTGGGTTCTGGGCTCTGGAATAAGGCTGCCTGAGTTTCCATCCTGGCTTTCCCCCGTATAGCTGTGTGACGTTGGACAAGTTACTTAAGCTCTCTATTCCTGTTTCTTCATCTATAACTTGGAGACGATAATATCACTGAAGAGAGTTGTCCCAAGGATTCAATGAAATGATGTATACTGAGCAGACAGAATTCTAAAGATGACGCACCTCCAGAATGCCCGTCTCCTGGTTTTCAGTCAAACACTATCTGGTGCCACTGTGAAGGGATTTTACAGATCTAATTAAAATTCCAAATCTGTCAACCTTAAGATTTGGGAATTATCCAGGTGGGCCTGACCCATCGGTTGAGACGTTTGGAAACAGACAGTTTTCTCTAGCTGGTAAGTGGTACCATACAGGATGTAACCTTATAAAATTGACATGTTTTATTTGGCATGATGCCCTTGAGATCCACCCAAGTCGTCGCACATATCAGTAGTTCATTGATTTATACTGCTGATCGCGTCTTGTGGAACATGTTATCACAGTTTGCTTAATCAGTCACCCCTCGAAGGACACTTGTCTGTCTCCAGTTTGGGGGCTGCTACACAGAGAACTCCTATGACACTCGTATGTGAGTTTTTGTGTGAACATAAGTTTTCATTTCTCTGGGGAAAATGCCCGAGAAGGCAATTGTTGGGTCGTACGGTGAGGGCGTATGTCACTTTAAAAGAAACTGCCGAACCATTTTCCAGGGAGGCTGGGCCGTTTTGCATTCCCACCAGCCATGCATGAATCACCCGGTTACCCACATCCTTACCGGCCGTTGAAAGGTTACAAATGCGATCCAATTACGATGATATAGAAAATGGAACACAGGCGAGTGGTGGCCCTGGGTCCGGGGTGGTGTAGGAGGACGAAGGAGCAGCACGGACGCCCCGTGGAGAGGGACCTGTTCTGTGTCTCGATTATGGGGATGGTTCCCCGAATTTGCATGGGATCAAATTGCATGAACTATACATTCTCCCACCCCCACCCCACGGTACTTGTCAAATTGTAGAAATCTGAATAAGCTCCGTGGCTTGTCCCAAAGTCAATCTCCTGGTTTTGATATTGCACTGTGGTTATGCGAGATGTTGACTCTGGGGGCCTGGGTAAAGAGGGTATGGGACCTCTCCATACAAGTTTTTTTTAACTTTCAGTGAATTTGTAATTACTTCAACATTTAAAGTTTTTTTTAAGAAAACAATAGAACACAATCTGTCCTAAAGTTTTCATTTTCCCCAGAGAAATGAAGACTTATGTTCACACAAAAACTCATACACGAGTTTCATGGCAGTTCTCTGTGTAGCAGCCCCCAAGCTGGAAACAGACAGGTGTCCTTCTGTGGGTGACCGATAAGCAAACTGTGATAACATGCTCCACGAGACGTGATCAGCAATGTTAATAATGAACGGAATTGTTCATTAAGATGGTATTTCTAAAACTTCTTTCACTCACTCGCCACATTGATGACACTGCCACTTTTGAATACCACGTGTCATATACTTCATGTTGCTCTTTTTTCAGTGTTATCCATTTATTTAAGGGAAATTTCACATCACTACCAAAAATGGCCAACTAGTAAAAATTAATGCAAAGAAAATAAAGCGTGGTTATTAAATTCTGAGTCGATACTGTTGTTTGTCTGAATTTGTCTTTATTAACTAGTGGAGACTAGCGAGTGTCAGAGAAGCGTTAAAGACAGGCTGGCACCGAACAGAGATGCTCCCTGTGGTAGAACCAGACGAGTGAAAAATAGTCTGGGTGTGTCATTCAATGTTTCTAACGCTTCCTCCCTTTCCAGCTAAAACCACCTCACTTGCCAGCAAGGGTGCTTGCCCCTCACTTTGGGAACCCAGATCTCTGTGCTGTGGTGCTGGTGAAAACCTTCCTCTGACTTTCTACGCGGTTCTCAGACCTTTCCGGGAGGCGGAAGCACAAATTTTAAAGAAAGAGCATTTTGGAAGTCAGAGGCGGCTCAGTCCAAATCTGCTCGACTACTCTGAGCCGTGGTTCCTTCACGTAAAAATAGGATCATGTTTCATGGCTCCTGTGAAGATGAATGGAATTAGCTCTAAGAAGGGAGGGGACACAAACAGAGGGGACAGCCGGCCTGGGCTCGGCCCCGCCTCTGCATGACCAGCTGTGTGGCCGTGGCCGCATTGCTTCTCCTCTCTAGACTTGGTTTCCTCCCCGCTAAGATCAGAATAAACGCCCTCTCTCTGTGGGGTTCTGTGGAGGCTCAGTGAGTCAATCGTGTGGCTGGTGTGGATGTGGTGGACCGAGGTCAGCTCTCGTCATTGCACAGAACACATAGAACAGGACCCGGCGCGCAGTGGGTCTAACTCAGTGCCTGTGAGTCTCTCCCCTGACACAAATCCCTGTCCACTGACGGTCACAGACTAGTCAGCAGCCATCAAACAAGGTCCCCTCATTAAAGGAGACAGTACAGCTTTGTCGACTTGAGGGGAAGGTTCTGGAACAGCAGAGCCAGAGAGGATTTCTCAGAGTGGATTGTGGAGTGGTGGAGTGAGAGGAGAGGCTATGCCAGGGCGAGAGGAAGGGCTGGTGTGCTGAGGGAGGAGGGAGAAGCCAGGACGGGCGACAGGGAGCAAGGCGCACGCATCCAGACGTGTTCCAGTGATTTTGGCAGAATTATGCAGCGGCTCTGCGGGGTGAGCAGGCAGGTGCGTTGGGGTGGACTCTGGCTGCCTTTAGGGCCGTGAGCTCAGAGGAGGCCGCTTCTGGAGAGATGAGAGGGCCTTGGCCAGTGGAGGCTGGGTGTTGTAGCCATCCCAGGGGGATGGTTCGTGATCCGTCTTTGCAGTTCCTAAAGTGCCCTCCTGGTGTCTTCACACCTTGACTTACTCGCCCTCAGGCATGCTACGGAGCAGTGGCCTTGCTCTGCTCGCCATGATCTGTGTGATCAGTCACAGCGAGTCAGGGATCGAGAAAGGCAGCTTTAATTCGATTAGCTGGCATAATCGGGAAGACGGCAGACTAATGTCTCAAAAAAACCATCTTCCAGAGCTGCAGAAGCTTGAGGCAGTTATATAGGGAAGCGTGCAGTGACGAGGGGTCTAGAGATGTCGGCCTGCAGGCAGGACGGACGCCAGGGTCCCTCATTGTTCTTTTCTTCTGTGGGTGATGATGGATACCTTGTGGGTGTGTTTCCCGCCTGTGGTCAGCCCGTGCCTGGAGAGAAACTCACAGAACAAAGTTTTAATTCGTCAAGCTATCAGGGAGCACACACGTCAGTGGAGGCCGTAAATCAGGAGAGCGTGTGAATTTTTAGCGCACGTGCAGAGCAGCGAGTAGTCACACAGAGGAGGGGCGGGGGCCACTTAGCGCAACAAGATGGCTTCACTCATGCTCACTTGCATGCACACCTGGAGCGAGGTGTTCTTATTTCCACTTCCAAGGTGAGAAGACCGGGCCTGAGTGGGGGCGGCACGCCTCACTTGCTCAAGGCCGACAGGGAGGAGTGGAAACAGGCCCCCAACAGCCCTTCATTCCAGGCCGTCACGTTCCCTCCGCCACATCGAGGTTCTGCGTCATCCCCGTACGGGGGACCGTTTTGAAATTACAAGTTTCCAGAACACGGAGGACAGAGCCGAGCCTCTGCCTGTTTGGGGCTGTCTCGTGGGTGGGGGGTGAGGAAGCAGTGGTGCTTGGCCTCCATGTTCCAAGCACGTGACAGCACGCGTGGCACACAGTGACCAGGAGAAAGTGCCCGTGGAGTGAACGAAGGAACAGACAGTGAATGAGCCGATGGTGAGCAGGTCTGTTAGGGAGAAGAACCATTTGACATCACTCTGTGCCATCTCGTGGAATCTGGAGAAGGAGGTACGTGAAACTTCTTACCCGTGTTTATTCCGGTTTGTTTGTGTTCCAGGCCCACCCGAGAGAGCGAGGACGAGGAGGACGAGGAGAGGAAGGGCCGGGGCTGCTCCTTGCAGTACCAACACGCCACGGTGCGCGTCCTCACGCAGTTCGTGGCGGAGTCACCCGACTTGGGTCAGCTGAGCTACATGCTGGGCCCCGACTGGCAGTTTGACATCACTGACCTGGTGATGGATTTCATGAAGGTGGAGGAGCCGAAAGTGGCTCAGTTGCAGGATGGCAGGACCCTGGTGGGTCGGGAGCCGGGCATCACCACTGTGCAGGTACAGCCATCCACTCCCTGCTGCCTCCCCCAACCCCAGGCTCTACTGACGAGCATCCAGGAGATGCTGACGTGCAGGGGCGTGCGTGTGTGTGTGTGTCTGTGTCTGTGTGTGCACACATGCGTATGAGTGTGTGTCAGTGTACACGTCTGTGAGTCTGTGTGTGTGTATAAGGAAATCATGAATAGCAATAGAGTATTCATCAATTTTAATGATCTAAACTCAAGTTAATTTTTGCATTTTAGAGAAAGTTGAGAAAAAATATCTAATTTCTTTTACCAGTCAAAGCTAAATTAAACACACAGTGCAAGCAATCTTTCTCTCAATATAATTTACTCTTTGTACATAACTAATAGAAGACCGTAGACCCTGCGAAAGCTGGGCTTATTTTCCTAATCTTGAGGTTAACCATTTAGCTATAATTTAATATAATATTATGCCTTCAACACTGGATAAAAAAATTTTAAAAAACATGTATTTGCACTAAAAATAATAAAAAATCCATAGTTTAACGCTGTTTTATTATAGCAATGGTAAAACTATTTCCTAGCCAATTGTGACAGGATAATTATGCAGAAATGGTGCAGCATTTTTTTTAAGAAAAATTTTAAATGTTAAAGCTCATACTTGATTATTGTATTTTAGCTACTGCTGAAGTTAATTTTTGACAAAGCTGAATTAAATTATTATACTTTGTATTACTTTTCTATTTCTGTGTGACAAATTGTGACAAATTTAGCACCTTAAAACACCACTAATTGGTTAACTCAGAGTTTGGTGGATCAGGAGTCCAGGTGAGCCTGGCTGGGTTTGGAGCTCAGGGTGTCCAAGGCTGGAATCAAGGCGGTCGCCAGGCACACTTCCGTGGGGTGTCAGGGATGGGTTTGATCCCAGCTCGGGGTGTCGGCAGAATGGAGTTCCTCAGAGTGTAGGACTGAGGTGTCTCTTTCCTTGTTGACTGTCAGCCAGGGGTCACCCTCTCCTCCTAGAGGCCACCAGCATCACTTCTCATGTGGCCCCTGTGTCATCAGGAATGGCTGGATCAAGTTCTCCTCACGCTTTGAGTCTCTCTGTCTTTCTCTTCTTCCACCAGCCAGGGGGGCATTCTGGTTGTCAGGGCTCATGTGATCACATTGGACCCACCTGGAAAATCCAGGCTAATCTCCCTATTTTAAGGCCACCTGTGCTGTGTAGCATAACATGATCATGAGAGGTACTTTCTCATCATAGTCACAGGTTGAGAGATGAGGCAGGGACAATTCTAGAAATTCTGCCCACTGGATATTCCTCTTCATTTGTTAGTCGGCCCCGGTTGCCAGCTAGATGGCAACATAGGAGGAATGGCTTCTTAGGATGTTAAGATTGCCTTTCCCGCTTTGCTTAACTCGTTCATCCAGTGAGGACCCAGGGGCCCACACAATGATCACTATGGTCCCATAGTGAAAAGCTAACCAGCCACTAGAAGGAATATGAGCGGGAGATGTTCCCGTAAAGAGGTTTGCCACAGTTCTGCAGTTTCACACCTGAATATTAGCTGTTGGGAAAATGTTACTCTTGGAGTACCTAGTGCCAAGGTGGTAATTTTTAGTGATTGCCTTTAAATTAAATCAAGCTCTTCTTGGAAAACACACTTCTATTATCACGGTATGAATCAAAGGAAAGAAAATGGACCAAGATGATATTTGAAAAACTCCTCCTTCATTTGGCAAGGATAGTTGAACAATGGCATAGCGCTCAGGCACGCAATTTCCATGAGGGCCTTCATTTAGCACAGCACAGGCAGAATACTTAGGTGGGCACGTCAATTAAGGAGTTTTAAACGGTGTGTGGAGCAGAGACCTGAGCTTTCTTGCTTCCTCGGAAGGTCCTCTCGCCTCTCTCTGACTCCATCCTGGCCGAGAAGACGGTGACCGTCCTGGATGACCGCGTCACCATCTCGGACCTGGGCGTGCAGCTGGTGGCTGGCTTGTCTCTTTCCCTGCAGCCGCACAGAGCCGACAAAAGAGCCATTGTCTCCACAGCGGCCGCCCGAGACGTTCTCCAAGCCCCACAGCAGGTGAGACTCCAGAGTCCTTTGTCACTGCTCAGTTGAGACAGTTTCTCTCTCCCTCCCATCCTGCAAAGGAGATGAGTAGAGCCCTCATAGCTAGAACTGGTGACTCTCGAAGCTTCCTCCCCCCATCTGTCCTTCTCTGGGAGAAGTGCTCAGTGGCTTAGATATGTCCTCCTTGTATGTACTTTTGCACCTAACCACGTGCTCATATGCCGTTGCTTTGCAGCAGCCTTATCTGTGCTTGGCACTCTGTGCTACTAGACCAGGACCAAAGGATCACATGTTTGCACTTTTGCCAAAACAGGTGGCTTTTGATACTTAGAAATTCCATTTCAGCTACTTGAACAAGCGTGGCTATCAGTCACCAAATTGCTACTGTTTACACTTATTGCCACTGTAAAACTCTCCTCCATCTTTAAACTGTTATAAGTCATTTATGATGATACGAGGGACACTGTGCCTTTCAAGCGAGCTAGTCTCGTAATGCATCTTTCCCCGACTGCTTCCAGCCTGGCAAGTTTTGGTTCATCAGCAGTGGTTTCCTAATAAAGTCTGTTCAAAGTGATATTATCTGGAGCACTAGCCTGGTTAGTTGCACCTGGATTTGATTCAGATAAATTGCCTGATCTTTCGGAATGTGTTTAGAAAGGTCAAAGTCAAATTCTGTTGTGTGGCATGCAATAAATTAATATACAGTTTAATGTATCCATTAAAGTGTATTATTTGTTCCTCACATCTGTGGGGCGATAGCATATTATTGATGCCATTTGAAGGCATGCCAAGAGCTGTTCAAAATGATAAAACACAGAAATTTATTTTTATCAGTTTGTATATCTAAATAATATTATATAGGAACTCATGTTTACTTTTGCAAATTTGAAGGAACCTGATTATAACATAATGCTTTGGTTTCATTTTTCTTAGGAAGCAATAGTCAGTTCTTGGATCTTGTTCAGTGATGGTTCAGTGACACCCTTAGACATTTATGATCCCAAGGATTTTTCAGTTACTGTCTCATCGTTGGATGAAATGGTGGTGTCTGTCCAGACAAACCTTCAGTCCAAATGGCCAGTGGTGGTGGCAGAGGGTGAAGGGCAAGGACCCTTGATTAAATTGGAAATGATGATTAGTGAACCTTGTCAGAAGACCAAGAGGAAGAGTGTTCTTGCCGTGGGTAAAGGAAATGTCAAGGTCAAATTTGAACCAAATATTGATGATCACCAAGGAGGCACCAATGATATTGAGGGCATAAATCGTGAATATAAAGACCACCTCAGTAATTCCATAGAGCGTGAAGGAAACCAGGAGAGAGCAGTTCAGGAATGGTTCCAACATGGCGCCTCTGTTGGCCAAGAAGAAGGTACCAACAAAAGCACAACCCCACAGTCTCCCATGGAAGGAAAGGATAAGAAGTTGCTCAGGAGTGGTGGTCCAGATGCCTTCACAAGCTTCCCGACTCAAGGGAAGTTACCAGAACCCAATAATCCTAGTGACCTTACAGTGACTTCAAGGGGGTTAACCGACCTGGAGATTGGCATGTACGCCCTGCTCTGTGTCTTCTGCCTGGCCATTCTGGTCTTCTTAATCAACTGTGTGGCATTTGCTTGGAAATACAGACACAAAAGGTTTGCTGTGAGTGAGCAAGGCAACGTCCCCCATTCCCACGACTGGGTCTGGCTCGGGAATGAAGTGGAACTTTTGGAGAACCCCGTGGACATCACACTCCCGTCGGAGGAGTGCACAACCGTGATAGACAGGGGGCTGCAGTTCGAGGAGAGGAACTTCCTTCTGAACGGCAGTTCCCAGAAGACTTTCCACAGTCAACTGCTCAGACCTTCGGACTACGTCTATGAGAAGGAACTTAAAAATGAACCTATACATTCATCGGGCCCAAAGAGGAAGCGAGTCAAGTTTACTTCCTACACTACCATCCTCCCAGAGGACGGCGGCCCGTACACCAACTCCATCCTGTTCGACAGCGATGACAACATCAAGTGGGTCTGCCAAGACATGGGGCTGGGGGACTCCCAGGACTTTAGAGACTATATGGAGAGACTGCAGGACCAGATGTGAACTCCTCTCTTATGTTTGTACTCACCTTTATGCCTTCTGTTTTCTGAGTGGTGGAGCAGTGAGTTTATCAGCAATAGGGGATGACTTAGCAAAGCTTAACTTGTGGAGGTCTGGTGGGTCCCTTCCTGAGCAGGTAGCAGAGGTCTGGGGGGCTATAGCAGCTGGGTTAGAAGCCAGGAAATATCTCTGAAACAGCCACATGTAGGTCCTGGAGAAATTCTAAGACAAAAGTTTTATCTGCTGCCTGGTACAGGCCCAGTTCGAATATAATAAACCTGACCCCACAGACATTGTTAGTCATCTCGTGAGAAATGGCCATGTGGAATTAGAAAAGACTCGGTGTTGATTTTTCTATTCCTACATCTTGTAAAGCACAGTGGACGTTTCTTGCCCTTGGCCTGAGCTTGGACATACGTGAGGATGCCGAATGTAGCTGCCCTTATTTGTTATGAGCACTGCTGATTATTTTTATATACATTTGCACCTGCGCCTGGTTCCTTTGACCTCTGGAATTCTTTTTGAAACATGAAGAAAAGAAATTTCGTTCTTTCCTCTGAGGTCTGTTTGATTTACACATGAGTTTCCGTCCCTGAGATCTGCCTCATCACGTTATTTCCTGGGTGTCCCTGCAGGATCTTCTCCACTTTCCCCCACTTGATCACTTAGGGGCGAGAGCTGAGAAGCTTATCCTCGCTCTGTCTTTCCTTCTTTTTGTTGTTGAACTTTCTTGTATGAGGCGGGGACGCGGGATTTTACTTAAAATATGAATATGCTGTGAGGGAGACCATTTCTTTACCGTTTTCTACATGGAGCTTAAAACCTTTCCAGAAAAGTTGTGCACCATGAACATTTATTTTGATCTTCTGCTTGTGGGAGATTCATGAGGAACGCCTGGAGTACATTTCTGAGGGCAAAAAGACCTCGAAATGGCTGTTTTTATACAAGTGCTTTGTGGTCAACACAAGTTGTTATCCAAACTGAAACCAAAATTTAGAATGGATGTACACAGAACGGAAATTGCAGAGGAAATTCTTTCAGATTAAACTTGCCATTTTACCAGAACACAAAATTTTTAAAAAGTAAGTAGAATGATGTTTCAACTTAGCAATATGTAGAAATTCATCCATACAATGCCTCCCCCCGAGACTCTGGCAGAGATAAAACCTACACAGGGTGTGCACCAAGGGGGAGAAGCAATGGGTTTCCCCCCAAATTCATAAAAATAAATGACTTAGTTTCAGAGCTTAAGAAGCAGCAGTTACGATGAAAAACCCTAGCTAGTGGAAAATCAACGTGGCAAGAGAAAAAGCACATGATTCCTGTATAATTTTAAAATAAAAGGTGTTTTTCAAAGAATAGCATGAATGGTTTCCAGCAAAGCAAGAATTTCAGATTAGGAAATTATGAAAACATTTTTATTAAGATAGGATATCTGGAAAAACAGACAGGACAAGTGTGCCTCCTTACGAGTTCCCTGAGCCGCTGGCATCTGTTTCTTAGTGGCAGGGCCTCAAGGATCTGCAGAAGGTGTCCGAAGCAGTTCTTGACTACAAATGGCTGTCAACTGAGCTGTACGAAAGAGAGACATTCAATTGTTCTCATAGATTTCTGTGCCGGGGAACATGACAACCCAGCCTCCTCTAGCCGTGACATGGCAGCCACAAAGTTCTACCTGTGTCTCTCGCCCACAGGACTACAGTGCGTTTGTAAACCCTTCATCCGTTACCAGTGATGTTGGCCTGACCTCCAGAGGTTTAAATCTCGGTTTTAAAATTGGGGTTAGGAACCGAAGCTGGTGAATTTCCAAAAATCTTTCAATTTGATTGGCAAGTGAAGCCAGGAGGTCCGGGCATTAGCTCCAAAAGCAGTTTGCAAGGAGATGGCTGACACCTTGTAGGAAGAGCTCCTCCATTAGCCAAGGATGCTGCCAGTGCTTTAGAAAGGGTTGGGTGGGGAGGGAGCTCAAAACTGACTGTGTAGGGCAGAAGGAAAGTTCATGTGCTGATTAAAACATAGCCATCCAAACGCGTCCTGCTCCTCCTCTAAGATATTCTCAAGTTTCTCTCCCTTGGATCCTCAACATTCTAGAAATAATGAGAATATCATTTCTGGAACTGAGGAAGCTCAGCTGATATGGGGGTGAAGCTCTTTCTCTCACACACACAGCAGGCTGCCTCCGCTGGGAGGTGGAGACTTTGGGTGGGGGTGTCATTCGGGAGGGGGCAGGGGAAGCTACCGTTGTCATAGGGAGCCTTATTAAGGAGCATACAAATTAGAGCATTTCCTGTGGTCTGTGTGCTTGATGCGGCACAGAGAGCAAACTGTGGAGCGTTAGAGCGTCACTGGTTTCTCAGCAGAGCTGGAAACTGCCCCCTGTCCTAAGACGCCCCCTGCGGCTGCGCTGTCTCACCCGGAGTGACACAGGCTCGTCCAGTCACCTTGGCTAGTTACGCTGAGACTCAGTTCCATGTAATCAAATGGAAGATCATAGAGGAGGGGGTCCCTCTTACTATAGAACGCATGCTCGCCTATACACACACATTGATACGTGTGTGTGTGAATAGGGAAGAGCAGAGAATACGGGCGTTAGTAGGAATCAACCCTGTTAGTTGTTCTGAGGTTCGACGTGGGCACTGCTCGGCTCAACAGAAGTTCACTGGAGTTCTTTCCATTCTGAATATTTCCTGCCCACCGGAAATCCTGGGTTATGTCTGCTTGTTTTTCAACTAGTCAAATTAAAACGAAAAGGAACTCTACCCCAAAATATTTAAACTAAAATAGGGGTAAAGATGTAAGTTAAGCCTTGAAATACAATTTCTTGGGGCCCTGCATTTGCCTGGATTTTCCAGGTTTTTCTGGCTCAGAGATCCATATGATTGGTGTGATAAATAACCTGAACAAAACAACGTTGATAAAGCCCCTTCCTCTCCCGTGAGTGGAATGCTTGGACCCCCCTGAGGAACACACTAGCAAACCTCTCGAGGGCCGCCAGGCCGCGACCTCGCTGGCTCACGTGGAGGGCAGTTCAGGTGCTGCATGAGGACCAGCCCACCTAGGACAGCAGGGGAGGCGAGACCACAGTTTCCAGGGGCCGGATGTGCTGCTTTCCAGGCCAGCGCACAGGGGTCGAGAAGCAGCCGCCACTCAGAAGAACCGGAGTTTAAACACACGCTGTCGCATTTGAGAGAAAGCAGGATGAAAGGACACAGGAAGTTTCCCCAGAAAAACACCACCTAGCAAACCTCAGAATTCTCCACGTGCACCAAGAGAAGGAGTATTGACATCCTTGTTGTTTTGTAGTGCACCCTGGCCAGGCTAAGTTCCCAGCCTCGAATAATCCTTAAACTCCAGGCAGAGAGTCTCTATTTACAAACATTAATGCAGGGGAAAAAATGGATTAATTTTTGTCCCATGGCCACCTCTGTAGACCAAGTATTTTGTACCTTGCTGATTTTTAAGTTTTAGAAAGTTTGTCTTTGTGCGTTTTGATCAACATTCTTGTCTCGCTCGCTTAGAAAGGCGTCTTCCCCATGTTGGGATGTTGGGGCCACAGCAAAGGCTCTGTCTGTCAGAGAACTAGCCAGCGCATCTTCAGTGACCACAGAGGGTGGTTTTATCTGAATCCTACATTTTCATTGACACCATTGTGTTTTCTACTCTGATCATCTCAAAAATGGCCTCAATACTCCATGCTGGTCTTTGTAAATGACACGATAGATGGTTTCTAAACTCAGAAACCGTCTCCTCCATAAAAATTATACATGTGTAATGTGATGCTTATCGCCTGTTATGTAAAGGGACAGTACGAGTGGTGGAAAACTTATGTTAAAATACGGATAGCAGATATTTTTGTATGTAATATAGCCAATATCCTGAAGCACTGAGAAGTGTATTGGAATAAATACATTTTAAAATAAAAGCATGCAAAGCCGTAGCTTTTAAATGTACAGACGTCCCACTCAAAAATATCTAAACTGATGGTGGGGAAGCGTTGGGACCTCACATCATGAAATGCACTGAATTAGCAATGCAGCCTGGAAAAGGCCTGGCTCGTGTCGGGATCGTTGATGGAAGCTGCCAGAACATTTTGCTTTTACTCGTCATTACTTTTGGAATTTTTTCATTTCTCTTTTTTTCTGGAAATATTTCAGAAATAAAGTGACTTCGTTTTCCAGCATAAAGGTATATTCTAACCACAGGGTAACTCATCATTTTTAATATGGAAATAAACATTTAAACGTTCTTCAACTGTTTCATTATTTTATCCATGTATTCCCTTCTTAATGTCAGCATCTGGATGATTTGACTATATTTATATATTTTTTTTTCTTTTCAGCCAGAGATTTTCATACCTTTGATACAGCAATAAATGGAAACCAAAAGAAAATGTTTCTTAAAAGTTGCAAACAACCTTTACCTTTGAAAAGCTTCCCATTTGTCCTCCTAGCAGGCTGGGGGGCTCTTCTTCCCAGCTGTCTCAGAAGGAGGGCTCGTGTTTCTCACGTCCCTGTCCAGGGACAGACTGTCTTGGACTCAGGCTGACATGTAGGATGAAGTGGCCCCTGACCTCTCTCTCCCTTCTGGTCCTTACTTGTCAATGGCTTACTTGCGTGTGTGTATTCGGGCAGGACCATGAATAGTGTCAAGGGCCTGGGGTGCTGAGAGCCCAGAACAGGCAAAACTCTAGAGACATAAGGAAAACACAAGACAATCGAAGATTCCGCTCGGAAGGCTGACGTCTCAGCTGAAAGGCTGGTGGGCTCTCTGTTGGCGTGTGCACACTTCCTGACCCTGCCAGCATCATCTTTGGCATTTTGGCAAATGGCATCCCCTGCTTTCAGAATGAAAAAGGATGTCTCTTTGGCAGTGACTTGACGTGTCGTAGTAGATGTCTTTCAATGGGGCCCACAGACATGACTTCTGTCACTGGGTGTACACATAGGAATTGGCTTTGTGAAATAGAATCTGTGAGCAGCAGGCTTTGGATGAACCCAAATGCTCCCCCAGGTGTGCCAGCCCATCAGCAGGGTTTCTCACGCTTGGGGCGGTTGTTTCCCTCTAGCAGCCTCCGCTTCTTCCTCGGGACGGAGGAGGTCTGAGCCACGGAGCCTGCAGGCTCCCCGGATCTCCCCATGCACATATGCAGCTTAGTGAAGTCGGTTTCTAAAAGAGAAGGAAAAAAGAAAGTTTGAAATGAGATTTGTAAAAGAACGAACTCTTTAGATTTAGATTTTTTTGTGTGTGTGCAAAAACCACCGCGTTTGAAATGTTTTGGTATTGAAATCCTTAATGCCTGTTTATGTCTTTATGGCTCCATACAATTTAGATCTGTTATGGAGGGTTCTTGTTGTTTGCTTTCAGAAATTTTTAAAAATATGAAAAAGTGCAGAAGCATTCTAACCCAGGTCAGTGTTTACAGACTCTTCCATGACTCAGGATGAGTGGGACACTGTCACTTACCAGATGGGAAATAACATGTCAAGTCCAATAGGGAAATCACCTTCCCACTCTAAGGAAGCAAACATGTCATCGACTCACAAAACCAGACAATCTTCATGTTCCATGAGACGCCTTTATACTTTCTTTGGCTTTAATTATTGCTCTCCATCAGTCATTCCGAAGAAAGCTTTTAATTTTATCTTAAGGATTGAAATCTCTTTAGACTCGCAGAAGCTGAGGACAGATGATCCTTTCATACATCTTCATTGCCCCTTGGAATGAAGCACGTACAAACAGAAACATCGATGTTGCTTTGGAATTTGGCGTCCACGTGATGTTGTCTTTTCTACCCATTTGAAAATATTACTTCTCTAGGATGGATTAAATCGACTTTGACCTGACACTGCTCTCTTTACTTCCTTGGCCAAAGAGCGTGCACAACTTTTCTATTTCCCATTGTAGGGTGGAGATGAAATAATCTGCTACTTTATTACCTCCTCTGTAGGATTCTGACTCACTGAATGAAATAACACAAAATGCCAGTGTAGACACTGCTCACATGATGTAGTTTCTTCATTTAGAGATGCTTCCTTAGAGAGCGTGCCTTTCTTCTCCGTCATAATCGCTGTAGGATCTCTGTCTTATCCATGTACATTCCCACATAGCGTGAGCATGCTCTATTCCCATAAATATTTTAGGCTGACAAGGGTCACACATCTATCACTGATAAGCACACCTCTCCAGGTACTCGGCACTTTATTTCACAATTCTGGTTGGGGTGTCCCCACTGGGCACATCAGTAACTTTACATCAGACCTACTGTCATGTCAGTCACCCTGGTACGGTGAATTGCTCCTCCTCAGCCAGTTCACACGCTGAAAAAAGCCGCATGGGGGGACCACAGTGTTTCCTCCCAGCACAGATCACCGAGTGAGTGACTTTCTTTCTGTAGTTGTCCTCCACTGGGAGCCTTTTCTGACTTCTAGCAAGGGCATCAATTTAAAATCCAACGTGGGTTCCCAGAACAAACTCGTTGCCCGATCCCCGTGACCATTGAGGTTCCAGGCACGCCCCACACATCCTTGCGGGTTTAAGCAAATGCCAAAACCATGAAAGGCAGGAGCTGAGAATGGAGAATTTAATAAAGAAGTGATCAACCCCAGGAAGAAAGAAGTGGCTGTAAGACCCTGGGAAAGATACTCCCCCGTAAAGAGTATTGTATAGCATATCCGTGTTCTTGGAGGGCGGTCACCCCCATTTCCCCACAGAAAGGATTTTTGCAATGCTGCTTATCTACAATGTGTGTCTGAAGAACATGTTGTTTTCTCACAATTTAAATTTGTATCTCAGCTGTCAGTCCCTGGTCCCAGACTCTTCTCAGACAGGTGGATCCGATCTGGGCTGCGGGTCACAGTGAGTGGCCAAACGCACAGAGCCCAACCAGCTCTGTCCTTCCACAGGGCTTCAAGGAACAAACAGAGCAGGGAGAAATTTTGTCTGGCATTTGAAAAAAAGTGTTATCCCTTACTTTCTATTTATCTGAGTTGGGTTCTTGTTCCCTGGTAAACAGCAGGTATTACACACAGAGCATGCTGTGATGACATTGTGCTTCTATATACTTTTTTGGTTGTATAAAATATCTCATATTCCCCATGGTTTTCAGTACGATCTGTTGTATGTGTTTCACAGTATATTTAACATCTCTGTAAAGGCACTTACAAACGTTTTGAAAGTGAAGAAATAAAATATGTTGGATGATTCCTTGTCATAGTAAAACAGTCGATCGGTAGGTCCCAGGAAATGATCTCATCTTCAAATCGGTGTTCCAAGGAGGGTATGAAGAAGCCCACGTGTCCAGTGTAGAGGCAGCGATGTCTCCAGGGTCTTGGGGACGGTTACTGAGACTTTGAGAACTGGAGAAGAGAAGGGCGTGCTTAAGTGTGAGAGCAAGATTGCGAGGGGAACAGCTTGCTCTGGTGCCCGGGGGGAGTACTCTGGCTAGGAAAAAAAATGAGATAAACTAGACAGCCTTTCCTCCATTAGGAAGGTGCTTTCCAGGAAGGGGACAGTGGTGGCCCATGAGTTTCTGTAGTTGACATGCAAACTCAGGTCTTGGAGAAAGCCAAGAAAAGTCTAATTCCTTAAAGCTTACAAGTTGAATTTTAATGACAGAAAGAGCTTTATTCAGATTCATTTCTGCCAGCCAGGGGGACATCAATTTTATTTTCAAAATTGGAATCCCAGGTAAAACTAACTTAGGCACAATAAATTCCAGTTCATGTTCATGGTCTTGGGATCTGTTCCACTTAACTCCAGAGCTAAACGACAACATTTCAACACCTTGGGTCTCCACCGCTCTGCCAATTTAATCAGGTTAAAAACCTCCATCACACTACACTCCTGCCCTCTGCAGACATTGGTTCCACCGGCTGTGTGGCCTGAACTAAAATGTGCATGCCCGACTAACCCTCTGTCAACACTCAGCTTTACAAAAACAAGTCCCCCCCCCCACCCCCACCCCGAGACAGCGTCAGGCTGGCTGTCTTGGGCAACTATGGCAATCCTGAGCCAACGTCCATGCCTCCTGGTTCACTGCCATAGTCGCAGGGGTCTACGGCAGCTTCTCACCCAGCAGTGTGGTCCATACTACGCGAGACGTAAAGAGGTGTTTGCAAAACCCCCTTCCCTTCGTGCAAAGGGCAAGGACTTTATGAGCAGAGAATGGCTGGGCTACAACATGTGCCCTTGGCCATGACTCTCCTTTAGACCATGAGGTGAAACAGAACTCAAGAAGGCAGCATGTCCAGGACATCTGAAGCCACTCTGGAGCCGGATGAATCTAGAGAAAGAAACACCAGGTAGGTGTCCAGGGCGGACTGGAATAAACTGCACATGAGGGAGAACCCTGCTTGGTGCCACAGTACATCATGGGTCACTGCTGTAGAAAATGGATATTTTTGTATTATAAATTTCTAAATGACGCTTACTTAAATGGTGTTAATTGAATGTTAACATAAAATTATAGGAAAACCCCAGAAAACTCCAGATTGTCTTCTACATGGAGAGGGATGTGCCCATTCACATGATATGCCAAATGAAGAGCCCAAGCAACCACTGACTTGATTAATGTGACAATAAAGGGTTAAAAACATTAGCTTTCTCGCCAAGTTCCTGGATCTGACAAAAAAGACAATAAAACTTTCTGTCTGCAGGTCCCAATGCTCTCAGGAAGAGAAGATGCTGGCAAGAGAGACTGGGGATGGAGTCCGTCTGGGCAGACAAAATTCAAAATAGTGTTCCAGGCTGAGGGAACAGAATATGCAAAGGTGGGAGGTCGCTGTGCTTGGGATGTGAGGGGCAGGGATCCCCTTAGGGCCTGGCCGGGTGGGGGGCTCCATGTGGAGTGAAGGTACTCAGACTATGACTCCTGTGGTGGGATGAGTGGTCCCCAGCAGGACAGAGATGTTACCTGACTTGTGTTTTAAAAATAAACCTGGGACATACCACCCACACGCGGGGGTGCGGGGGCTCTAGATCTGGAGTTGGGACGCTGGGGCATTTCTTATTCCAAAGTGTTTGCAGTCATCTAAGAGGTGGGGAGACTGGGCATAAGCAGCCTGAATTCTGGAAAGTTCTACATGAAGAAAAGTGTCCTTGGAGTACTTGGCCTCAGTAGGTAGACTTGAAGTGAAATATGATCAACGAGGCAATTTTGGGTTGTGCTGGAGGAACCTCTTCACCGTAGATTTCCCCAAGCGTGTTACAATCAAGAAAGTTGGCCAGATTAGATGATGGGAAACACAAAACCAAACAAACAAAAAACACGACAGAATGATTCTGGGAACACCCTCCCACGGGAAATGCTTTTGAATCTTCCCCCTTGAAGACGGTCAGACAACGTTTAAGGCTGTGAGAAGTCCGTCTATAAAGAAATATTTCAGGTGTTCCTTAACCTGCATTTTCCACGTTACCCACTTTTATTAATTACTTATTGCTTTAATTTATGATATACTTATTTTTCCTAAAATCTCTTAGAACCCTAAAGGACTGCATTGCACGCTTTGAGGAATGTTCAATTTAGAACGTTAGGGCTTTAGAACACTTTAGAGTGTTCTAGCAATCCCGTAACAATGCAGATTCTGCTTTGTTGGCAGCATGTCAGTGTTTTCGGGGAGGAAATGTGCCGCCGACGCGGTGGGGTGGGACAGAGGGGAAGGGACACTGGTGTCAGAGCGCCTGCTTCCCTTCTGATGCCTTGACTCCCTGCTGGGCTTACAGCACACACGGGGCTTGGGGAAGCCCTGCGATCTGCGACAAACCTCAGAACCCATCTGGAAGTGAGGGGCGCAGGGGGCTACCAGAAACTGTGGGCCCTGCACACGCGAAGCAAGGTAAAGAAGGGAATTGCTTCTACAAAAATCCATTTTACAGGAACTAATCAGTCTCGTTGGCCCAAACACTAAGAAGACATTTGCAGCAGAAAACTGCAACCAGCTACTTTTACTTGTCTTTTTTATATTTGCTTAGAACAGCTGTATTGAGATATAACTCACATGCCACACAATTCATCCATTTAAAGCATGCAACTCAGTAGCTTTTAATGTCTTCACACCCTCAGCATCATCGATTTTAGAGCATGCTCATCATGCCCAAAAGAAGCCCTACGCTCCTTACCCCGTGTCCCCTAACCTATCAGGCCTGGGAGACCGCTCACCTGCTTGTTGTGTGTGTAGTTTGCCTTTTCTGGGCTTTTCATATAAATGGAATCCTACAATATGTGCTTTTTGTGACTGGCTTCTTTAACTCAGCACAATGATTTGAGATATATCATAGACCTAAATGTAAAAACAAAAACGTACAACTTTTTGAAGAAAACGTAGCGGAATATTTTTCCTTTGGCATTGGGATAAGCAAAGATTTCTTTCTTTCTTTCTTTGTTTGTTTTTTTTTTTTGAGGAAGATTAGCCCTGAGCTAACTACTGCCAATCCTCCTCTTTTTTTTTTTTTTTTTTTTTTAATAGGCTTTATTTCATAGAGGAGTTTTAGGTCCACAGCAATATTGAGTAGAGATTTACCGCTAATGCCCTGCCCCTCCTATGCGTTGTTTCCCCTAACATCAACATCCCCTACCAAAGGAGTACATTTGTTACAATTGATGAAACTATATTGACACATCATTATCATCCAAAGTCTGTATTTTATATTGGAGTTCTCTCTTGATGATGTACATTCTGAGTTTAGACAAAGCTGTGATGTCATGCATCCACCATTATAGTATCAAATGGAGTAATTTCATTGCCCTAAAGATCCTCTGTGCCAATCCTCCTCTTTTTGCTGAGGAAGACTGGCCCTGAGCTAACATCCGTGCCCATCTTCCTCTACTTTATATGTGGGACGCCTACCACAGCATGGTCTACCAAGTGGTGCCGTGTCCACACCTGGGATCTGAACCGGTGAACCCCGGGCCGCTGAGAAGTGGGACGTGCGAACCTAACCGCTGCGCCACTGGGCTGGCTCCTAAGCAAAGATTTCTTAATCAAGACATAAAATCACTTAAGATAAGCAACAAATTAACAAATTAGATTTCATGAAAACTAAAAATGATATCAAAAGATATCATTATGGAAATAGGCAATCCACAGAATGGAAGAAAATGTCCTCAATACAAGAGACTTGTTCCCAGAATATACAAAGAACTCCTGCAACTTAGTAAAAAGGCAGACAACAGGGGCCAGCCCCGTGGCCGAGTGGTTAAGTTTGTGCGCTCCACTTCAGTGGCCCAGGGTTTCACTGGTTCGTATCCTGGACGTGGACATGGCACCACTCATCAGGCCATGCTGAGGTAGCGTCCCACATATCCCAACCAGAGGCACTCACAACTAGAATACACAACTAGGTACTGGGGAGCTTTGGGGAGAAGAAGAAGAAGATTGGCAACAGACGTTAGCTCAGGTGTCAATCTTAAAAAAAAAGAAAAAGGCTGACGACACAATTGAAAATGGGTAGAAGATTTGAGCAGAAACTTCCCAAAGGAAGGTTTGTGAAAAGCACGAGAAAGCGTGCCTTACACCATTTGTCATCAGGGAAATGCAAATTCAGACAACAATGAAATACTACTCTACACCTTCCATCACGGCTAATGTTCAGAAGACTGGAACACCCATGGTTGGCAAAGATGTGGAGGAAGCAAAATTTTCAGACGTTGTCGGTGGGACTGAAAATATCATCACTGTGGAAAGCATCACGCCAGCTTCTGGTTAAGTTAAACATACACTTAACGTATGTGGAGATGTTAAGAATGGCATTCTTCGGTGTTTATCCAAGAGCGTTAAAAACGTGCTTTCATGTGAAGATATAACAAGAATGTTCGTAGCAGTTTTATTCATAATAGACAAATAATGGAAACGCCCCAAATGTCCATCAACAGGAGGATGGATACCCAGTAGTCTCTTTTTCAAACAGTGGGGAATGACTCAGAAATAAAAAGGAACAGTTTATGCAACTTCGTGGACTTAGTGAAACGAAAGAAGCGAGACACAAGAGTACCTACCACATGATTCCATTTACATGATATTCAAGACTAAGCAACAAAATAGCTACGGGAATAGAAATCAGAGCTGTGTTGGCCTTACCGGGTGTGTACGGACAAGGCGGGGCGCTGGCGTGGGTGATGCGAGTGTCTTCATCTTGGGCAGGGACTGGATGGCGTTGGGAAGGACTCTTCTAAAGTTCACAGATATACACTTGAGACCTGTCCATCTCACGGTGTGTAAATTATACTTAAAATAAGTAATGTCATGAAAAAAACCACAAG